CCTCTTCACCTTCCGACCCCTTCCTCAAAGCATTTCTGCTCTTCTTCTTCTCCTTCACTTCCGGAACGGCAGACACCTCCTCAATCTCCTCCTGAATATGGTCCAATTCTACGGCTCTGGAACTCGACCCTGTCTCCGATATCAGAATTTTCTCGGTCAAAATCTGCACGATGTGGGGCTAGGCGGGCGCTAGGCGGCTAGGCAGGGGCTAGGCGGGTGCTAGGCGGGCGCTAGGCGGCTAGGCGGGGGCTAGGCTGGCGCTAGGCGGCTAGGCGGCTGGGCGGCCTCCTAGGCGGGTTGGGTCTTTTTACGATGCCGAACCTGGAGGACGAAGCAGCCGAAACCGAAGAAAACCAGTCGGAGCTTTAGTTTGATAGAGAAGCGAAACGGCTGTCACTGCGAGTGCAAGCTTCGTGTTAATATTTAAAGAGTATGGCCGTTCGGCTATATTCTTAAAATATTCAAATATATTAAAATTAAAAGAGTCTAGCCGTTCGGCTACACCTTTAAAATATTCGAACGTATTTAGACAGTATAGCCGTGCGGCTATACCCTTGAAGTATACATTTTGTCATGTCGTTTTTGGTTTTTGGGGCTAGAATATCACTTTAGCCCATTGGGCTAGAGTTATTTCTGCAATTATTTTCTTTATACAAGCGATATTGGGGAATGAAAATTTAAATTCTTTCTGATACCTCTCATTCTAATGATTTCTAACAATCTAACTATTAGCCCATTGGGAAAGAATAAAAAAATGAATTTTATTTATAACATATAATACGGGTTAAACCCATAAATACAACAACAAAAAATAGGGATCGGCCAACATTTTGTGGATCAAAGAAGGTTGAATTTCATAGTATAAAATTCCTTGGGATTGCTTTTTTTGGCCAAAAACCTAATTCACTTTAAAGTTAAGCAGTTTAAGGTGTTTGGTAAAAATAAAATATCCCAATTATTTTAAAAGAAGTGGCCTTTTGATAGCAACTTTTAAAAGCAGACTCTGGGTTTTTTTTCAAAGCTTCTTTCAAAAGAAGCGAAGATGAACCGTTCATGAATTTTTTTAAATTCCCAAAATACCATCATTCGTTTTAAAAAATGACACCAACTCTACTTCCACATCCAACTCCACCACTTGCACCACCACATTCACTAACTCCACCGCCACTGCCACCACCACCAGTACCACCACCTCCTCCAAAACCTCCACTTCCACCGCCATCTCCACAACCAACACCACCACATGAGAATATATTGGGAGACGCACATGCCTTTCTAGATTCTAACCTTATGAACTGCACAAGTAGCTAGCTCAACTAAGAAATGGTTTTGGTCATATAAAAAATTTCTTAGTCAACACCTTTTCTGGATCACCCCCACCTTTAAACATGTTATAGGTGTCTCGCATGACAGGTTTCGGATCTTGGCCAATCTGCATTCATCTGGTATGTGGTTAGAAGAATTATATTCAACTTTTCACTCAATACATGGGAGTAAAAAGCACTTAAAAAAGTGTCACCTAGAATTATACATTCACTCATAAATATACTTGGTTATGCTTGCTCCTACATATGGCCAAAAGTCACTAGCTCAAAACCTACTTTAACTTCATCCATAATCTTCCCCAGATAAAAAAATAAAATAAAAACCTTAATTTTTACTTTTATTCCAATGACATATCTAAGGCTAAAGTGACACACTTTTTTATTTTTTCTACATCAAGTATTATTGTTTTTCAAAATTTAATTATCTCAGTACCTAAAAAAATCATATGGAAATAAGAACCATCAAAGAACTAGTTCCTATCAAGATAGTAAAGTGACAGGCCCCTTTCCCAAAGATCTGATACCAACCTTAGCCAACACCATGTAACTTAATTCAGCAATTCATATCCGTAGCCAACACACTTTTTTTCAACAATAATGTTCAAAGAATATAGCCTGCTATACCAGGATATAATTTTTTTTTTCGATAAATAGTATAGCCGGGCGGCTATATTTGGGACTTTTTTTATTTATTTATTTTATTTTTTATTAATGCTATAATGGGTCCTTTTTTTTAGGGGTGGTTGCTGTTCGGTAACCGCGAATTTTTGCCCAAACCGCAAACCGACCGACTATTTGCGGTATGGTGATTTTTGAAACTACAAAGCGGTAAGCCGCAAAAAGCGGTCGATTACCGTGAAATAGCGGTTTAAAACCGCAAATTCTTTTTGTGTCATAAAAATCCAATCTTCCACATTTTATTCCTAATTTTGATGCTTCTTTTGAAGCCTTTTGATTTGTAGCATACTTTAACCCAAAAATATAAATTCACAACTTAAATAAATAAATTCACAACCTCAACTTCTCAAGCATATATAAATTCACAACCTCTTCAACTTCTCAAGCATTCACAACCTAAAGAAAATTAAAGTTACAATTTCAAGCATTCCAATTAAAGTTAAACTTCTCAAGCATTCACAACCTCAACTTCTCAAACATTCTAATTCCAAATCCTTTAAAGTTACAAACCAAAAGGAAAATGCAATGCAAAATGAATTAAAGTTACAACCCAAAGGAAAAATCCAATTCAAAGTTAATTAAAGTTACAAACTAAAAGGAAAATGTAATGCACTAATGTTACAAATTAAAATTACAAACTCAAGTGTTGGTGGTGGTGAGTGGATTTGAAGGACCTCGTTGTGTTGTTTGAGGACCAATGCAATCTACAAAATGCAATTTTTTTATTTATTAAATATAATCGCGGTTTGCGGTAATCGCAAGTTTTGAAAATCAAATACCGTAACCGCAACCGCAAATGCGGTTCGGTTCTTCATACCGCAAATGCAGTTCGGTTTCCCGCTATTGCGGTTCCATTGTGGTAAAGTGTCGGTTGGTTTTTGCGGTTTTTCGGTCTAAAATGCCACCCCTACTTTTTTTTATTTTTTTTATAAAAAAAATCTATGATTTTCTTTTATCGATAAAAGTAGTTTAGGGCAATATCCATTACTATTACTTCATTACCCCAGTCTCCATTGTCCCATTCTGATTTTTTACTTTTTCCCAGTTTTACCCATATAAAGAATTTAGCATTTTCCCCGTTTAATACTTGTATTATACATGTACGTATATATTTTCAATAATACTTCCATTTTCCATACACGTTTTAAAGACTCGGTACAATACACGTTTTGTCAAAAGAAAACATACAATACACTTATTGTACACATACGTACGTATTTTTCATTTTTAATACACGTGGTTTTTACAAAATTTTCAATAATATACACAAAATTCACATATTATACACATAAATTTCACATATTATATAATCAAAATAATATATATTAAAATATTATATAGTGGCCGAACTTTTCAGTTGTAACTTGCCAAAATTATGGCGAATAAAATACGTACAGATTTTCTTCTTATTTTTCCCGTTCCGTATTTTACTAACTATGAAAGAAACTGAGAGGCTGATATTATTTCTTACTTCTTGTGAGAAAAATGCAAGATGGTGATTTTGCAATCCCTTTGCCAACGAGAACAACAATTTCAAACAAGGTTTTATGGGTATAGTAGTAAGAGAGGTGGTAGTTTTCTTCATGTAAAGTGTTGTTTGAAAAGTGAAGCAATTACCAAGACCACTCCAACCCAGCATGCAATTCTCTACGAAAAATAATGTGTGCGGCAACATAATTTAGTAGCACTCTAGAGACCGATGTATATCAAAGGCAAACATTCTCACGAAAAAAAGAAGAAGATAAAATTGAACTCTCATATTGATTTACTGTGAAATTTCTCTCTTTTCAATATATGCTTTGGATATGTTGAAACTTGGAGCCCCAACTCACTTTGGCCAACTCCGAAATCGGGGGTACTTTTCAAGTGTTTTGATTCATGGCAAACGCCATTCAAGTGTTTTAGACCGCCTAGGCGTTTGGAAAATGCAGCAACAAGCTAGGCGTTAAGAAACCTGACTTTCATAATAAAGCCCAACATATAAAGAAGCGTAGAAGTAATCACTCTATCGGCCTTTTGAAAATGCAGCAACAAGCTATGCATTAAGAACAATCACTTAAGTGTGAGGAAATTCTTGGTATTAACGCAACTTAAAAGAAACAGAAAATTATCTTAAGACCATTCTGCACTGTAAAATGTACATCGCAAAACATATACATGACTATTAACGCAAGATCAATGGTCTACCGGCTTTTATTGCCTCCTTACCTAGTTGCTCATCAATCCCAGAAGAGAAGTCTTTACTTTTTGCTAGTTACTTGGCCATGCAAACTCTGTTCAACCTCCTATCTCCAACCATTTTTGCTTCGAAGAGAAATCTTTCGCGTGCAGCACATAATACATGCCTAGCCAATTAGTATTCTGGTTCTGTTTTTGCATTATTTAGGTGAGTTCACAAAAAATGATCTCTGATCTCTAAGATTACAATGCATCTACTTGCATGTAGGGTTATTTTCTGTATTATAAAGTAGGGTTTTTATTTTTTATGCATAATATAGTAGGGTTAACATGAAAGAGTTGGGTGATTGTAAATGACACATGATCTCCATGTGAAAAGCATAGTGCAAAATGTGGAAGACCCCCACATAACATTGATTGATTGCGACTTGAAACAACTCAGTATGCAAAGATATACATATGTTGTCTGAAAAATAAGGTAGTAAATGAAAGGTAGGGCATGAAGAAACAAGTTATCACCACCATAACCTCTGGACCTCAATGAATATGACTGAACAAGAGTAGGCTATGTCCACCCGACCAAAACATGGACGCTCACAAGCACATTCTTACCAACAGTTCCAAGTTCAAAGTATTCAAGTCCAACAGGAGTGAAGTAAAAGTTGCAATGTACTTTTAACATCTCGATAATTGGATAGAATAGTTGTCCACGATATAATTTGATATTCGAAGGGGTCATTGGAGCATTTCAAAATTTTACAACTTGAATTTACAGTACAAGAGGCGGAAAAGGGTAAAGTAGAAACTTGTTGAGCTTTGTCATCGCTTGGGGCAATACTTTGTATGCAGGTTATCAAGCTTCTCGGCATACTCAATCGGAGTTGCCTCATTGTCCAACACTTCATCCCATATCTTAACAACATCTGTTTGCAAGGTTATTGGGTTAGTATAGGATATGAAACTAATGGAAAATATGAATCATAAACCCTATAAAAATGGGCAGGATGACTAACAAATCAGAAAATATGGAACGATTCAATCAAGACAAAGTGCAAGCATTACCAGTCGCTGAGACTGATATACCACATTGATATAGGTATACTCTACTTTAAAAAAAAAATTTGAAATCCAGGAATTCAACCGTAAGCTTTTGAAAATCTCAAGGAATTTAAAACAGAAGCATGCATACCAGCGTTGTCTGAGGATGGAAGAAACATGATGAGTGTGTCAAATCTTGGAACCCTGGTTAAGTTGTCCAAATAATTGACAGCCAAATCCATTTCTTCACTGACGAAGAAATAAATCAAAGGTGGGGCCATAAGCATTTTATCAAGCTCAACAAGAAAACATACATATCAGACATAAACATTACTTTCATGAAAAAGGTTGCCACACACTTGATAATGTCAAGAAGTATGGGAACAGTCAAAGCATTTTTGAATATCTGCGGCAATGCACTTGGAGATATAGCTTGTATAGAAATAACACAAAAAATAACATGAAACAAAGTAACAGCATAAATGGAAAGTCAGAATGAGTGATGATTTCTTAAACAAATACCAACTGCATTCACAATCCTTTATGGACATTTGAAATTGTTTAAAAGGGACACAACAAAATGGGGAACTTCTTGGATGGCCCCTAGCATGCAGAAGCCAGATAGGCAGATGGACAATGCAATTACTGGTAATACTTCTGGCAACCATCCAAAGAGGACAATAGACGAGACTAGTAGAATCTTTGCAATGGTCAACCGCACGGATGACCACCATGGAAAAAGAACACATTCATGGTCACTTACTTTGGGATAACAACGAACATATGAATCTTGCATTTTGGCAGACTATATTTTTTACAGTAAACCACATGAATACTTTTGCAGACCTTCAACAGGCTAGTCTGTCGAGCATTATCCTCGCCAAGAAACCTCAAATTGATAAGCTGAATTTGGTGGTGTGATCTTTTCCGCGGCTACAGCCTTGACTCGGGAAGTAGCTCGAGAGGCAAGCTCTTGTACCGACGCCTTCACCTCTTGCTTCCTAGTTGTGTTATTTCTCTACAAAATTATCATAATAAAGACTAGTTCAAGAGACTAAAAGACACAGATGCAAAAGAAATAAATAAAAGTTTAAAGCAAATAAGAAGATAAAGCCATTGAATCCAGATAACATGGTAAGAGTACACAACGTATAAGTCTGATACGAAGCTTACAAGGCTGGATGCTTTGTCCGTTCACTTGGGTATCCAACTTTCCCACTTTCTGCATTTCTTGTACAAAAATTTTCCGTGCTCCAGATGCTTTCTGCAGAATTGTCTGGGAATTAACAATTCAAATGAGTCAATTTAATATATAAATGATCTGGTAGATGAGCATGATATACACCATCAAACAAAACACAAGAAATGAATGATAGACTCCGAAAAATCAAAACTCGCCTTTCAAAAGCAAAAGCAAGCAGACCTGCATTGCTCGGACCTCTTCACCTTCCGACCCCTTCCTCAAAGCATTTCTGCTCTTCTTCTGCTCCTTCACTTCCGGAATGGCAAACACCTCCTGAATATATATGGTCCAATTCTCTGGCTCTGGAACTCGACCCTGTCTCCGCTATCAGAATTTTCTCGGTCAAAATCTGCAACAAGCCGGCGATGTGGGGCTAGGCTGGCGCTAGGCGGCAAGGCAGGGGCTAGGCGGGTGCTAGGCGGCTAGGCGGGGGCTAGGCGGCTGGGCGGGCCTCCTAGGCGAGTTGGGTCTTTTTACGATGCCGAATCTGGAGGACGAAGCAGTCGAAACCGAAGAAAACCAATCGAAGCTTTGAGTTTGATAGAAAAGCGAAATGGCTGTGACTGCAAGTTCAAGCTTCGTGATAATATTTTCAGCGTATAGCCGTACGGCTATACCCTTAAAATATTCGAATATGTTAATATTTAAAGACTCTAGCCGTTCGGCTGTACTTTTAAAATATTCTAATGTATTTACCCTTTAAATATACATTTTTGTCCTATCGTTTTAAGGTCTAGGGCTAAAATACCACTTTAGCCCATTGGGCTAGATTTATTTCTTCAATTATTTTATTTATACAAGCGATATTGGGGAATTAAAATTTAAATTATTTCCAATACCTGTCTTTCTAATAATTTCTATTAACTATTAGCCCATTGTAAAAAAAAAAAAAAAAAAAAAAAAAAAAAAAAATTTATTTATAACAAATAATATGGGTTAAACCCATAAATACAACAACAAAAAATAGAGATTCGCCAACATTTTGTGGATCAAAGAATGTTGAATTTCATAGTATAAAATTGCTTGTATAGGAATTTACTTTTTAAAATGTATCCATCGTAATTATGAACTAAACCCAATTACAACCTTTTTTCTCATTGCACTTGACAACCCTTATCTTCTGCTATGAGATATATCAGTCCGCGATGTATTCTATGCATATGAAAAATTGGATACAAAACTACAAGGAAAAACCCTTTTGGCGACCACCACCTTTGGTCGCCAAAAGCTGACATTTCGTCGCCAAAACACTTTAGCGACGAAATAATTTCGTCGCCAAATTGGTCGCCCAAAGCTCGTGGCTGAAAGTACAAAGTGACAAAAGGCGACGAAATTAAGTTTTCGTCGCCAAAACCTTTATACGACCAACTATTTTCGTCGCCTTACAATAATCAGTTGGTCGCCTATAAAGATAGGTTCCCACGAAAATACCAAAATTTGCCGCGAACTGAGGGAGGATTGAGCGACCAAATAGATTGGTTCGTCGCCGATAGTTTTTGGTGACTACCAGATTTGGTCGCTAAAACTTTCTTAGTTGGTTGCTAAAATATATATATATATATTTTTTTTGTTTTTAATTATTTTATTTATATTAAGTTTTGTGATAATATTAACCTTTAGCTCATTAACATATTGTAATTTCAAAAAACAAAAATTTCACTAAATAGATCAATAGAAAATTACATGAATAAAAGTTTCTCTCATTCAAAAGTACACAAGCATACTAGTCATTCAAGTACACAAAACATATCCAAATTCCACTAAAAGACTGGAGGCCAAGCTCCGTATATTCTTGCCCTTGGTAAAACCAAGTTCTGCAATCATTATTTCTCCACTCTAAGACTATTACCAAGCTTGTATACTATTTTGAACAAAACAAAATACATGTATACTATGCCTTTTTGTATCCCAAGTTTTGTAGTCATGATCTTTAGCACCTGTGGGATATGGGCTGTGATCTAATATTGTGGAATTCCCAAACACTGCCAATTGTTTGCTTGACCTTCTCAAACTCATCATCTTCCTTTACAAAAGAAACAAATAAGGAAATGTCAATGGTAAAGAAGATGCCAAAACCAAGAAAATTAAAATTAATATATATATATAGAGAGAGAGAGAGAGAGAGAGAGAGAGAGAGAGAGAGATACAAAAGCTTAAATTCACAATCTTAACTAAATAAGCCATCAAAAAGAGTTGGATCGACATAACAAAACTGATTACTGGTCATCAATAAACTAACTTAAAAAAATTTGAATTCATTTTTCATACCTCTCAATATTGACTGTCTAAGCATACCTTTGTGATAATAACAGAAATCCAATCATCAATTACCACAAATAAAGAAGGAAAACAGTTACGAAAAACCAATGTAAAGACTAATATCATCCATGATCCATTAGAAAGCATAAATCATAAAATCCAAAGTATAATCCACACCTTAAATGGAACTGAGTGTAATAAGAAGAAGAGGTTCTTACCTCAAATGGTGCTCTGTCCAAAACCCCAATACAAATCCTTCCACCTCCTCAAAAAAATCTGACATGCAAAAACAGGATGCTACCCCAGTAAAGTTAAGACTCCTAAATGACATTGTTCTAAACTTACATTATAAGATAAACAGACCTGAAAGGTAGATGGTTTGGGGGCAGAGAGTGGAAAATAACTCAAAGTCATCAGAAATCTTTGGGGGAAGAGAGTGGGTATGCTTATATGAGTACATAGAGGTTACAGACCTTTTTCCCCACAAGGAAGCATCCCATATCCTATTCAACATGTTTAGTGAACTAATAACAATAACAACAATAGTGCAGAAGTCCTTGGCAGAGCTATGCATGTATTTTGGTTTAGGACCAACTTTAATTTAAAATATGATTCTTTTTAGTGTTAAAAATTAATAAAAACACAAGGACAATGATATATCTAATTGCTCAAACAGAAAAATTATGTTGTGGACCAAAGGGGTAGTAGCAAGGTAAAATGAAAACAAGCTGCAATACCTAAGCACCTTAAGACCTAATTACACTTCCTACAAAGAAAGAACTCTAACTCACCTGCAATCCCAATGCCATATCATTTGTAAGATAAAGCACAAAACACTACCTTATCAATCTAAATCACTATAATTATCACTGTGATTACTAGATTGCCATCATTTTGTAATCAATCACAACCTTAACTCTGTTTTCCAAATCACGCCCATGCCTCTGCCTCTAATTTCACACAAACTATTTTCCCACCTACTCTAGTACACACGGGTGTAGGAATTTGAAGATAATTATTTACTTTATCTAAAATACATAGATACAAACTAGATGGCACTGCAGGTAGAGAAATGTTTTAACATACCAAATTTTGGGATTAAAAAGTTTAGTGCAATCCTTCCAGGCCTATACTCAAGTGTAATATTGTAAATTTGCATTAGTCACAAGCATACCTATCACAGACCTTAAAATTGAATATATCTCCCATTTCAATCATCACTGTCAAAGTAGCAAATTTGCACAAGTCACAAGCTTAGATTTGCATAAAACCACAAAGACTCACAACCTGAGACAACATTACATTAATTCCAAGTGCTCGCAGCACCAACACCATATTTATTGATATATCCATCTCGAATTGGTTAAAAACAAACTAGCACCTTCTATTAGTGTTGGCTTTTTTATTAAGCCTTAAGCAGTCAACACACACTTACCTGCTGCTCTTAAGGATTAAACAGAGTGCTTGAACATTGGTCCCTAGTGTTTAACATAAACTGTTGAGTGAATCTCAGCTCAAAAATGTCAGATTAGAAAACCATCTTTAAAACAATTTTGTCTTGTAATGTACAACCCAAATTTTTAATAATAATAATATAAAGGAAAACACAACCAATTCGAACACTTAACTGAAAAACCACCATATAATATAAGCACCCCCACCAATTGAATTGCACAAAATAAAAAATAAAACAGAGAAACAGAACCTCAACTGAATGAAGTGGAAGGAGATGAGGAAATGGGTGCTTGTTAGATCTGATTCATTCAATTAAAAAAAGCTAGCATATAAAGAAGGAATGGTTTAAGATGCAAGGCAGACAAAGAATCTACTACCACCCAAGAAGAAGATGACCCATTTCATACTTTTATGTTGTCAGTTTGCACACCCACATGCTCTCCAATTAAATTAAATATAAGAGTGGAGAGGGTTACCTTAAGAGTGCAGGTATGAGAGGGTTTTTGGAAAGAAAAGGAGATGGAGACAAACGAAACCCAGATTTCTGCAAAATTTAAGTTAAGAATTGATTGAAAATATAAGAGGAGAGAGAGAGAGAAGGGGGGGGGGAGGGGGGGGGGTGGGGAGGGTGTTACCTGAGAGTGTTTGGGAACGAAGCACCATTAGTTTTCAGATTGAATTTTCAGGCTAAAATCTTGAAAAAGTAAGAGTGTAGGCGTGAGAGGGTTTGGGTTAGAAAGGGCCAGAGAATTTGAGGTAGAGAGAGAGAGAGAGAGAGAGAGAGAGAGAGAGAGTTTGGGGTTAGGGATGAGAGAGAGGGATCTGGAAAATAATAGATTGGTGAAAAAAAGAAACTCAAGCGAAAAAGAGAAGGGAAAAAAAAAGGGGCGGGCCACCAAAAATTAAGCGGGACAAATACTTTGGCGACCAACATTATAGAAATCAGAGACAACGTTTTTTGTCGCTTGATTTCCGCGCCCACTCTTTCATCTCCCGCCTTGTACTTCGCGACCAAAAATACAAAGTCGTCGTAGGTTCCAACATTGCGACCAAACAATTTGGTCGCCAATTCTTAGTTATTTCGTGGCTAATTATCCTCCGTTGAAATTTGCTATTTGGAAATGTTAAGAAACTATTGGCGACCAACATTGGACACTTGGTCGCAGAATCACCTTATCAGCGACCAAAAATAGTTGGTCGCTGATAAATTTGGTCGCAAAAGGGTAATTTTCTTGTAGTTAATAAAACAATCTAACGAGACAATGAAGAGAAGTTTGCAGCTCTGTTTTGAAATAAATTGAAGGTAACATAAATCATATGGCATTGATTTACGAACTATTCTCAATGAGAATTCAAACAACATGCTTTACATGAGAATTAGTATCTCATTCTTAGGCCTCGTATAGGAATTTGTTTTTTTCCGCCAAAGACTTGCTTCACTTTAAAGTTAAGCAGTTTAAGGTGTTTGGTAAAAATAAAATATCTCAATTATTTTAAAAGCAGTGTCCTTTTGACAACAGCTTTTAAAAGCAGACTCTGGGTTGTTTTTCAAAGTTGCTTTTAAAAGAAGCAGAGATGAACCTTTAATGAATTCTTTAAATTCCCAAAATACCATAATTCATTTTAAACAATGACACCACCTCCACTTCCACATCCAACTCCACCACTTGCACCATCACATTCACTGCCTCCAAAACCACCGCTGCCACCACCACTACCACCACAACAACCACCATCTCCTCCACCACCTCCTCCACCTCCACATCCACCACCATCTCCACAACCAACCACCACTACCACCACCATCCTTCACAACCCGCCCCGAATTTCCCAACCCGAGACGAACCCTGCACCCCGGCATCACACCCACGCCGGGTTTACTCCTTAAATCTACGTCCTCGTTCACCATAGAGGATTAAGGGCACGAGACTTTCTGCCGAAATTTCGGCAGAGTCTCCCCTGTAAATTGAACATTCCCCAAAATTTCCACCTGCATCAAAACACATTTTATAACCCAACCAGCAGCACGCACAATATAATCTCATGCAATTTACATAAATGGCCTCCGGCCTTCAAATGATTCTAGCAGAACTGCCCACACGGTTTTAAAATAACTTATGCATCAAACATGCATATAACAAATTCAAATCTAACTAGGCACACCTTCACTCACTCAGTCCATCGGACAAGCCTCAATTCAACCAAGTTTCGGGACCAACCACGAGGTCCGCATCATACTCGATAAAACCACCTAAGTGGTGTCTAGGTCGTGGCTGCACCTAGGCGCTATCCCAGGCTGCCTACGTACCCTACTAAGGGATCAAGCCACACGTAGCTCTTTCCTATCAATCCTGGCTCCTGATATCAATTAAACCATCACATCCATATAAATTCATACATTCTCGGGTTTATCCATCACAACACACCCAACATAATCACATAGCTCCCACTCATACGTCGGGACGCACCCGGCCACGTACGGGGTCTGTCAACACGCCGGCTAATCCAAAGACGCGTGCGACCTCACACTGGGCCTGGCTACATTCTCACCAGCCATCATACCATCATATCTCCCACTCATACGTCGGGACGCACCCGGCCACGTACGGGGTCTGTCAACACGCCGGCTAACCCAAAGACGCGTGCGACCTCACACACTGGGCCTGGCTACATTCTCACCAGCCCTCATACCATCATATCTCCCACTCATACGTCGGGACGCACCCGGCCACGTACGGGGTCTGTCAACACGCCGGCTAATCCAAAGACGCGTGCGACCTCACACTGGGCCTGGCTACATTCTCACCAGCCCTCATACCATCATATCTCCCACTCATACGTCGGGACGCACCCGGCCACGTACGGGGTCTGTCAACACGCCGGCTAACCCAAAGACGCGTGCGACCTCACACTATCACTTGGGCCTCAACATAATCACAATATGGGGGGTACGTGGGGTAGTGCGTATAGCACTGTAAACTAACATTCAATCTCTTATATATCATTATACATCCACACAATTAATTAAATATATCATACAATAACATCAACCAATAAAACATTCCATAAACTCCCACCATTTAAATTCACCAATTTATATCCTAAACCCAATATCCATTTTACTCAACAACGCTCAAGACCTGTCACTAAGGTCATCCTAACCCTCAAGGAAAGGTAAGACTATCTCGGGAGTCTCACGGTCAACCTAGGGTCAAACGGGCCTGCGGGGCCCACAACCTCCAAATTCCGATCCGAAAGTTCCTATAGGTTCTACAGGCTCTAGGACACATGTCCTGCAAGTTTGGTCCAGATCGGACGGTCGGATCGCTCACGATCACACGATCGGACGGTTACTAAAACCCTAACCCCAGGGTTGGCATTTCCGGAGTATCCGGGACTCCGTTTTACGATCCGTCGAATCCTACACGATCCTGGTAATACCTAGATCAACATATTACAATCTCAGGACCATCCAACGGTCCAAACCCAGCGAACCCGGAAAATACGCGATATGCGATATCCGTTCGGGACTCTAACGATATCCAAATTGAGATCCGAGCACACCTACGCGCTCATGACAACCTGAGGATCCATTGGGACAAAAATGCCCCTCAGCTACAGTGCCCACGCGCCGCCACACGCGCCGGCAGCGCGTGGGTGTCCAAAGCGATATCCCATCGCCGGAAAACTCCAAATCGCGGCTCAAGACTCCTACCCTAGGTAAAACCCTAATTTGGAGTCACTTTTGTTCTTGGACGTACCCCAAAATCTGACCGGAAGTGGCCGGAATCTCATCCCGAAATCCGGCCGAAACCCAATTCGAAAATCGAGTTGCCTACGCTACAAATCGATCAATTCCTACCCAACAGGCAGCTAGAGCTCGGAAAATAGGTGAGAAACCATACCTCACTTGCCGGAATCGGTGGCCGGACGACGGAGAACGAAGCCGGCGAAGTTTCGGTCAAAACCGAGCTTTTCTCTTCGTTTTCCGGCGAAATCACGGCGGCTGGCGGCGGGACCTGGCTGGGGTAGGAAGAGGACGGCGGCCCGGTCATTTTGGTACCGGCCCCGTCGACTTTGGTGGCCGGACGAGAGCACGGCCGGCCAAAACGTGGCCGGCCACAGTGGCTGTCGCGAAACCAGAGGAGAGAGAGAGGACGCGCGGGAGAGAGAGAGTGTGTGAGAGACGGGGGCAATTCCGTCTTTTAACCAAAAATCCCACTTCAAAATATTTACGATTATGCCACTGAGCTTCATTTGATCATATCTCTCTCGTTACAACTCCGATTCGAGCCCACTACGTGTCTACGGACTCATCTCGCCGTGCTCTACGCAACGGTACATCGAAATTCCCAAAATCCCGTCGGGTAAGAAAATGACTAAATACCCCTATCCCACGGGTAAATTCTTAATTTCGCTCAAATTAATTAAATTAGGGTATTAAATTGGAGTAGGTGGTGTTACAAAATTAAACAAAAATAAAAAATGCCCTTCATTCATAACTTCCTTATAGAAATATCAAGTCCACTATTTGAATAGATAGAAATGGTAATTCATCACGTTGGAACAAAATATAAACACAAACCTTATCCTTATGAGAGGAACAAAAATCTCTTTCAAGTGAACGAACATCACTAACATCGAAGTTTTTAAGCAGCGAGATACTTGAAAATGGCAGCAGACATAGGTTCACTTCCATATCATGTTATCATGTAATTAAGTCCCAGCTTCTATCACCAAACCCACATCCCTTGCGCGGCTGCCAAACTGTCAGCGAGCAACATAAGTCGTGGGTTGGGAAATGAAGTTATGGAACTGGGGACAAAGGCCTTAGGGTCGTCAGCCCACATAGCATACCTCGCTAGAGTAGGAGTAGCTTGGAAGGTGACATGAGAGACACGGGTACTGACAGGACCCGTCCCGAATTTCCCGGAACCCGAGACGAACCCTGCGGAGACCCCGGCATCACACCCACGCCGGGTTTACTCCTTAAATCTACGTCCTCTTTTACCAGAGAGGATTTAGGGCACGAGACTTTCTGCCAAAATTTCGGCAAAGTCTCCCCTGTAAATTGAACATTCCCCAAAATTTCCACCTGCAAAGAACGCATTTTATAACCCAACCAGCAGCACGCACAATATAATCTCATGCAATTTACATAAATGGCCTCCAGCCTTCAAATGATTCTAGCAGAACTACTCACACTGCTTTTAAAATAACTCCATGCATCAAACATGCACAGAACCAATTCAAAATCTAACTATGCACACCTTCGCTCACTCAGTCCACCGGACCAGTCTCAATTCATCCAAGTTTCGGGACCAACCACGAGGTCCGCATCATACACAATAAAACCACCTAAGTGGTGTCTAAGTCGTGGCTGCACCTAGGCGCTATCCCAGGCTGCCTACGTACCCTACTAAGGGATCAAGCCACACGTAGCTCTTTCCTATCAATCCCGGCTCCTAATATCAAATCAACCATAACTCCCACTCATACGTCGGGACGCACCCGGCCACGTACGGGGTCTGTCAACACGCCGGCTAACCCAAAGACGCGTGCGACCTCACACTGGGCCTGGCTACATTCTCACCAGCCCTCACACAACCATAACTCCCACTCATACGTCGGGACGCACCCGGCCACGTACGGGGTCTGTCAACACGCCGGCTAACCCAAAGACGCGTGCGACCTCACACTGGGCCTGGCTACATTCTCACCAGCCATCACACAATCATAACTCCCACTCATACGTCGGGACGCACCCGGCCACGTACGGGGTCTGTCAACACGCGGCTAACCCAAAGACGCGTGCGACCTCACACTGGGCCTGGCTACATTCTCACCAGCCATCACACAATCATAACTCCCACTCATACGTCGGGACGCACCCGGCCACGTACGGGGTCTGTCAACACGCCGGCTAACCCAAAGACGCGTGCGACCTCACACTGGGCCTGGCTACATTCTCACCAGCCCTTATACCATCATATCACCCACTCATACGTCGGGACTACCCGGCCACGTACGGGGCCTGTCAACACGCCGGCTAACCCAAAGACGCGTGCGACCTCACACTGGGCCTGGCACATTCTCACCAGCCCATACCATCATATCACCCACTCATACGTCGGGACTACCCGGCCACGTACGGGGCCTGTCAACACGCCGGCTAACCCAAAGACGCGTGCGACCTCACACTGGGCCTGGCTACATTCTCACCAGCCCTCACACAATCATATCTCCCCTCATACGTCGGGACGCACCCGGCCCACGTACGGGGGTCTGTCAACACGCGGCTACCCAAAACGCGTCGACCTCTCACTGTGCCTGGCTTACATTCTCACCACCCATCACACATCATAACTCCCACTCATACGTCGGGACGCACCCGGCCACGTACGGGGTCTGTCAACACGCCGGCTAACCCAAAGACGCGTGCGACCTCACACTGGGCCTGGCTACATTCTCACCAGCCCTCATACCATCAATCACCCACGCATACGTTCGGGACGTACCCGGCCACGTACGGGGTCTGTCAACACGCCGGCTAACCCAAAGACGCGTGCGACCTCACACTGGGCCTGGCTACATTCTCACCAGCCCTTATACCATCATATCACCCACTCATACGTCGGGACGTACCCGGCCACGTACGGGGTCTGTCAACACGCCGGCTAACCCAAAGACGCGTGCGACCTCACACTGGGCCTGGCTACATTCTCACCAGCCCTTATACCATCATATCACCCACTCATACGTCGGGACGCACCCGGCCACGTACGGGGCCTGTCAACACGCCGGCTAACCCAAAGACGCGTGCGACCTCACACTGGGCCTGGCTACATTCTCACCAGCCCTTATACCATCATATCACCCACTCATACGTCGGGACGTACCCGGCCACGTACGGGGTCTGTCAACACGCCGGCTAACCCAAAGACGCGTGCGACCTCACACTATCACTTGGGCCTCAACATAATCACAATATGGGGGTACGTGGGGTAGTGCGTATAGCACTGTAAACTAACATTCAATCTCTTTATATATCATTATACCTCCATACAATCAATTAAATATAACATATAATTTCTAATCATACAATAACATCAACCAATAAAATATTCCATAAACTCCCCCCATTTAAATTCACCAATTTATATCCTAAACCCACAATATCCATTTAACTCAACAACGCTCAAGACCTGTCACTAAGGTCATCCTAACCCTCAAGGAAAGGTAAGACTATCTCGGGAGTCTCACGGTCAACCTAGGGTCAAACGGGCCTGCGGGGCCCACAACCTACAAATTCCGATCCGATAGTTCCTAGAGGTTCTACAAGCTCTAGGACACATGTCCTGCAAGTTTGGTCCAGATCGGACGGTCGGATTGCTCACGATCGCACAATCGGACGGATACTTAAACCCTAACCCCAGGGTTGGCATTTCCGGAGTATCCGGGACTCCGTTTTACGATCCGTCGAATCCTACACGATCCTGGTAATACCTAGATCAACACATTATAACTTCAGGACCATCCAACGGTCCAAACCTAGCGAACCCGGAAAAATACGCGATATGCGATATCCGTTCGGGACTCTAACGGTATCCAAAATGAGATCCGAGCACACCTACGCGCTCGTGACATCGAGAGGATCACAATGGGACAAAAATGCCCCTCAGCTACAGTGCCCACGCGCCGCCACACGCGCCGGCAGCGCGTGGGTGTCCAAAGCGATACCCATCGCCGGAAAAACTTCCAAATCGTGAGCCCAGACTCCTACCCTAGGTAATACACCTAATTTGGAGTCACTTTTGTTCTTGGGCTTACCCCAAAAATTGACCGGAAGTGGCCGGAATCGCGATCGCAAAACCGGCCGAATTTCAATCCGTAGATCGAGCTACTTAGCCTCAAAATTTATGAAATCCTACCCAACCATCAGCTAGAGCTCGGAAAATAGGTGAGAAACCATACCTCACTTGCCGGAATCGGTGGCCGGACGACGGAGAACGAAGCCGGCGAAGTTTCAGGCGAAACCGGGCTGTTTTCTTCGATTTTCCGGCGAAATCCCGGCGGCTGGCGGTGAGACCCGGCTGGGGTAGGAAGAGGACGGCGGCCCGGTCATTTTGGTACCGGCCCCGTCGACTTTGGTGGCCGGACGAGAGCACGGCCGGCCAAAACGTGGCCGGCCACAGTGGCTGTCGCGAAAACCAGAGGGAGAGACGCGCGCGGGAGAGAGAGAGAGTGTGTGAGAGACGGGGGCAATTCCGTCTTTTAACCAAAAATCCATTTTCCAAATATTTACGATTATGCCACTAAGCTTCATTTGATCATATCTCTCTCGTTACAACTCCGATTCGAGCCCACTACGTGTCTACGGACTCATCTCACCGTGCTCTACGCAACGGTACAACCGGAATTCCCAAATTCCTTCCGGATAAGAAAATGACTAAAATACCCCTATCCCACGGGTAATTTCTCAATTCCACTTAAATAAATTAAAACATGGGATAATTTGGGGTCGGGGTGTTTACACAAAAAAAAAAAAAAAAAAAAAAAAAAAAAAAAAAAAAAAAAAAAAAAAAAAAAAAAAAAAAAAAAAAAAAAAAAAAAAAAAAAAAAAAAAAAAAAAAAAAAAAAAAAAAAAAAAAAAAAAAAAAAAAAAAAAAAAAAAAAAAAAAAAAAAAAAAAAAAAAAAAAAAAAAAAAAAAAAAAAAAAAAAAAAAAAAAAAAAAAAAAAAAAAAAAAAAAAAAAAAAAAAAAAAAAAAAAAAAAAAAAAAAAAAAAAAAAAAAAAAAAAAAAAAAAAAAAAAAAAAAAAAAAAAAAAAAAAAAAAAAAAAAAAAAAAAAAAAAAAAAAAAAAAAAAAAAAAAAAAAAAAAAAAAAAAAAAAAAAAAAAAAAAAAAAAAAAAAAAAAAAAAAAAAATTCATCACCACCTCCACCACCACCACCACCACAACCACCTCCTCCTCCAAAACCTCCACATCCTCCACCATCTCCACAACCAACACCACCACCACCACATTGCTGCCGCTGCCGCCACCACCACCTCCACAACCGCCATCCCCACCACCACCACCACCACTACAACAACCACCTTCATCACCACCACCACCTTCACTCCATCAACACCACAACCGCCACATGATTAGTATATAACACTTTCTACATCATGTCTATTTCAGTCATTATTCACAGTTACAACAATTTTATTTTAAAATTTACCAAACGGTTTTAACTCTGCTTTTTGTACTAACAGCACTTTAAAAATATTGTTTACCAAACATGGAGCTGCTTTACTTTACAGCTAAATATTTTCAAATCACAGCAAAAAGCAACTTTTTTTAAAAGTCACAGCAATTCCAAACTGGGCCTTACATAAAACACATTATTTCATTTGTCTACTGGTTGTGCTTGTTGTTAAACTTGTGCAACCAACATTCTGTTTTCACCAAGAAATTTTTCCTAAACCTCAAAGAAATTTAGCTAGGAAAACCTTTGGTGGGAAAGGAAGGTTAGGATAGAAAATTGAGGCAGAGGCAAGGCTAAAGAACAATCGCGAGCACATGTGATATTACAGAAAATGTAGCGAAGGAATTTTGAACGACCATTTTCCAAATTAAGCAAACATCTTATAATGAAATCACGACTGGAACTTATAACAAGCCCTCATTGGAGTAACAATGTCCAAAAACACAAGATGAACACCGCACCACACTGAGCACACATAATTGCTCAATGGTGTTGTAAATATAAAAAAGATGAGATATCGCTTTGTACAATCAAATAGTTCTTCATTCCTCGTTGCCCAAATCATTGAACGCATCACGCAAATCATTGAGCATTTCATCCGACGTCGCCTCTACATGCAGATGAAATGAGTCTCCATCAACAGGAAGAACCAAATTGTCCATACCACAAAGAAATTCATAAAGTTCAAAACCCTCACACATAAATTTACTAATATGAGATGCATGTGCTTTGACATTTCATCGTCGTTGTCATTGAAACCAGACCAATCTCTGGCGTCCAACATCACCATATCTTTGCATCAATGCCACAACGTGACAAGACCATCCCGATTAACTTTTGCACCCTTCAAATTTAAGTACCCCAACTTCACAATTGACAATGCCCCACATCCATGAACAGAGCCTTTGGACAAATCTAAACCATAAAAATTCTTGCAATGTGTTTGTATAATTGCAAGTATTTTCGCCAAATTTAAGCATGAACCCAATGATAACACCTCCAAGTTTTTCCACTTGCCAATCAACTCTAGGTTCGTGTGTTTGCAATGTGTTTGTATAAATCCTGCCATCTTCCGTTGTCCATCTGCAAGAGTATGACAAGGAATTTAAAAATAATAATAATAAAAAAAGATCGAGCACTGAGACGAAAAGATAACTAAATAATAAACAGAAACTTGGGAAAACAATCACCTTAATTTGAAGAATGCAAGGCTGAATGCATATGGTAATCATTTATAATAAGAACCAACAAGAGAATTAATTGATGGAGCGTTGGAAAATTGTTCATTCAACAAGGACTTTCCGCATTCCAATGCAATGCATGCTCTGGATGTTCCAAACGACATCTCGCATTCCAATGCAGTGCATGCTTTGTAGATTCAAAAGGACTTTGCACATTTCAATGAAGTGCATTGGTTTTGGAGGCTGATTAGGGCTAAGCTCAGTTTGATTAACCGGACCAAGTGGTTGGAACTGCCTACCAAATTGAAACCAATTAAGTTGATGAAGGAAATTATGGGACCAACATCGACCGGCCACTCTCATCTACCGACCACAGTCGGTTCATGACCAAGCAAATGGTTCGTTGCAGGTCGGTTTCAACGAAGAGAGAGAGCGAGAAGAGAGAGAGAGAGAGAGAGGTTGAAGTACTAATCATGCATAAGTCAACTCTAAATTAGATCATGATAATCTTTTTTAAAGTAGTTTAGTCTGCAATGTATAGAACCATTAATTTAGCCAATCACATATTCGTAGCATAAAGTTTTCCATACCTTCAACCACCATCTCCTTCCCCTCTCTCTATATAACCATCTCCCTGTTACTTCATGTGTGCAGCATCAAATGGAAGACGTCTTTTTGCTCTCGGATGGAGGTTCGATTCCCATCTCCCTCTTGTTGCTTAGGCAACTTAAACCCTCAACATAGTGAGGTGTGGAGCTGGGTTTGAGTTAGTGCGCTAACTAGGTTGTTTTTTCTCCCCTAATGGCTCTATCTTTGAGGTAACCCGGACTAGTAACAACCGATCCTAGTTAATAAGATATTATTTCATAGAATTGGTTGTTCCCTCTCTCTCCTTTCTTCTAGAGGAATTGAGTCGTTCATTTCGATCTAGCTTCGTTACTATACCCCGGTCTCACTTCTACAACGTACTATCCTAGACCTCTGTCTATCCCGAATTGATATAAATTCATAGTTAGGTTAGCTAGCCCGGTAACCCCGACAAGTGGGAGGGTCTGCACTTTCTCTGTCATATGATTCTGCCAGACAATTCTATTTCATTCATTCTCCATTCAAAACCGCCTACTCCTGGAACCCATAATCCGACGATTCTTTCATATGATTTTTTTTCTTGGAATTCGACATCAGTGATCTACGACCATCCTTTCTTCTTTCCATTCCAAAAAGGAATGGTTGGTATGTGGTCCGTCCTTAGAAATACCCCAGGAATCCCCCTTTTGTGATTGTTCCAAAGCGTGCTTCCGTTTCTTGTTCTTCGAGCTCAACCGATCATGCTTCTTTCTCAGTTGCGTGATTCCAAGCTACTAGATTCGGATGTAGGTGAATCTGATTGTTCTGACTTCAACTTTTGTAAGTTTCCGGATAGCGAACTGGGGCGAGCCTATATAATGATAATGTAATAAAGCAAACTGTAAAATACCCAACATCGATCATCAGAGGGATAGTAGTGGACGAGACAAGCTCCTGCGTCTACAATAGATCCTGCAGTTTCTGTTAGCTAATGTTACAAGTGACACGTGTCCTTGGTGAGGTGGCAAGTTTGTTAGCCCTTCACGTGCTTAGTAGTATGATTAGTTAGTCTGTTAAGCAGGTTAGCTTATGGTTACTCAGCTATATAAGCTTGGGTCTGTGGTTCATTTAATCATAATGTAAAAACACAATTTCAGAGAATATACAGAGCTTTACTTTTCTCTCTTCAACACTTCTTCTTCTCTATAGTTATCATGGTATCAGAGCTTCGGCTCTGATCTCCGGCTTCCGCTCCGCTTGAAAAGCTTGATTCTGTACCTTTCATGGCGAGTTTCATGGAAATTTCGTGCTGCACAATCTTGCGATTCTTTCTTGCTTGTGTTTGAGCTTCTTCTTCGTTCAATAAATTCAGCTCTGGTATGAATTCTAAACTTGTTCTCTGCATCGACATTGAATTTAGGTCAAATGATTCAGTGAATTGAGGCATAAAGCTCCTATTACGGCACGAAGCCTATATTGAAGCACGAAGCTGTTTAATTTCTGATATTTTCTTTTTCCTGAGGCACAACGCCATTGTTGAAGCACGAAGCTTTTATTGAGACACAAAGTACAATACTGAGGCACGAAGCCCTGTTTTCTTGAAGCACATAGGTTTTCTTGCTTATATTTCATATCATCAGTTGATTGTCAATCATGACTTTTACGATGCCTAGAATTGAGGGTTTATTAGGAGTCTTAACCATTAAGCTGTCAGAAGATAATTTTGTCAAGTGGCAGTATCAATTGCAATCTGTGCTACAGGGATATGATTTGTATGGGCATTTTGATGGCACTACTGTGTGTCCACCGAAATTTACAATCTCTGAGTCAGAGGGAGTCACAACAGAGATTACTGAAGATTATAGGTCTTGGATTCAAGTTGATAAGGCACTTTTAAGTCTTCTTATTGCCACATTATCCGATGATGCTATGGAATATGTCATAGGTTGTAAAACGGCAAGGGGCACCTATTATTCATAGTGATAATATGTCAGCATTGGCTCTTAGTGTCAATCCAGTTTTTCACTCGCGTATTAAACATTTGGAGATCGATTATCACTTTGTTAGAGAACGAGTTCAATGTCGAGATCTGGTTGTGCAATATATTCCCACAGATGGTCAGGTTGCAGATATTCTTACCAAGGGCCTTCATAGTCCAGTGTTCATTCGACATCGTTCCAATCTCAGGCTAGGTAACAACCCAGCTGAGATTGAGGGGGAATGTTAGCTAATGTTACAAGTGACACGTGTCCTTGGTGAGGTGGCAAGTTTGTTAGCCCTTCACGTGCTTAGTAGTATGATTAGTTAGTCTGTTAAGCAGGTTAGCTTATGGTTACTCAGCTATATAAGCTTGGGTCTGTGGTTCATTTAATCATAATGTAAAAACACAATTTCAGAGAATATACATAGCTTTACTTTTCTCTCTTCAGCACTTCTTCTTCTCTATAGTTATCAGTTTTCAGCTTCGACACCAGCGTATGTTTCGGATGCGTCTTCTTATGCTCACCAAATTGAAACTTCATTTCTTCTATACTCGGATCTAAGGAATCTAAGGAATCATTCCAAACATTCCCCACTAGCACACTTCCAGAATCATGGGAAACATAAATATATAAGTTTAGGGGCATCATCTATAATAAGGTAACAAATCAATTATGCAACAATAAAATTATTTTTATAAGTAACATTATATACAGTGGTTTTCATGAAGTCTTATCTCCTCAGTAGTCTTTTGCTTGTGAATGTGGTCGTTCTCAAACAAAATTATTAATGATTCAGGATCCAGGGAATTGTGGTACACAAAGCATCAACCAATTTTTGTACATATGTTCTTCTTTTGATCCTGAAGAAAACTTCACTTTCATCCTACAAGTGGAAAGATATAAATCACAACACTAGAAATAGCAAGAAAAAGCATGATGCTAGATTGGCCCAAGAGATTTGACATTATTAATAGAATTGCTCGGGGACTCCTTTATCTTCATCATGTAGGTCTTTTAGGTGTGCAGCGTAACCCGGCAGATAGGCCAAGCATGCCAGTTGCAGTTGTAATGTTCAGTGGTGAAAGGTCTTTGCCTCAACCTCAAAAACCTAGTTTTTATAGTGAAAGGGATCTCAATGAACTAGAAGTCGATCCTTCTCCTAAAACATTTTTAGCTAATGAAGTCACAGTCCTTTTATACGTGTACAATACGTTTGCTTTCATTATACCGAGTCTTTAAGACATATACGGAAAACGGAAGTACTATTGACAAATACGTACGTACGTGTATAATATGATTATTAAATAGGGAAATGCTAAATTCTTTATACGGGTAATAACTCTGAAAAATTAAAAATTCAAAGGGGGACAATACATATACCTTGGTAATGGCCTAAACGTAATGGATAATGCTCTAGACTAGACTTATCGACAAAGGAAAATCAAGGAGAAAAAGTTTAAAAAAATAAAAACGCACCCATTAGATATTTAAAGAGTATAGGCGATCGGCTATATTGTTTATTTTTATTTAAAAGGACCCGCATAGCTCCTATGCGGCCCAATTTATTTATTTCAAAGAGTATCGCTGTGCGACTATATTATACTCTCTAAATAGAACATTTTTAAAAGTACAGCCGCCCAGCTATACTCTACAAATACCATAATCTGAATTTCTCTTTTTTAATTACATTAATTCTTACTTATGTTTTAATTATTGTTTACTCGGTGAATAATTAGTATTTAAGAATTTTATCAAATTCAAAAATTTTAACAACTAAATACTATTTATTAAGTAATATCATTTATGATGTTAATTAAAATATTTAATACTAATTATTCACTAGAGAAATAATAGTTAGAACATAATTACTAATGAATGTAATTAAATCAGGCTAAGATATTATTTAATTATGAAAATGATTTTTTTTTTTAATATATAAAAAACCTCTCCCGACGAAATTTCGTCGGCAAAGGTATATGCCGGCAAAATTTGTCGGATTAGGTTTCCCCGGACAAAATTTCGTCAGGAGTGGTTTTCTTGTCGGTAGAGGTTTGTGCACTTGTGCCGACAAAATTTCGTCGGGAAAGGTTGTTCTGCCCCTTTTTTTAATTTTTTAATTTTATAAATTTTTTTTAATTTTTTTAATTTTTAAATTAGTTTCTTTACTTTTGCTTTTGGGCCAACTTCTTCAATTCAATACATGTAATTAGGTAATACCTTAGCCCTTTTTTAATTACTTTAATTAGTGATTATGTTTTAATTATTATTTCTTTAGTGAATATTTAAATATTTTACTCAATTTCTTGAATTACTTGGTAAATAGTAATTAATTTTTTTGAATTAAATAATCATTAAAATACTTGCGTACGTGTACAATACGTTTGCTTTCATTATACCGAGTCTTTAAGACGTATACGGAAAATGGAAGTACTATTGACAAATACGTACGTACGTGTATAATATGAGTATTAAATGGGGAAATGCTAAATTCTTTATACAGGTAATAACTCTGAAAAATTAAAAAATCAAAGGGGGACAATACTTATACCTTCGTAATTGCCTAAATGTAATGGATAATGCTCTAGACTAGACTTATCGACAAAGAAAAATCAAGGAGAAAAAGTCTCAAGCTCAAATTTGTAGCTAAATTTTTTTCAGACTTTCAGTCAATCGCAGTGTTCCAAAAATCGGCCTAGGTGGGCTAAAATACCATTTTACCCAACTGGGCTAGAGTTATTTCTTCTAGCGATATTAGTGCTCAAAATGCTCAAATAGATTAATTTCTTCTTTATATAATTTTTTAAGAATTCCTAGAATACCATATAAAGAAATGACAATATCTATTTATACATATACATACATATATATATAGGGGGCGGATCCGTGGCACTATGTTTTTGACACAAGTTTTGACATAATTTTTGGGCCATTAGATTACTCCACTTTCAATGGTTGAGATTAAACCTCACATGGTAAGAAGTTTTAATTTTTTTAAATAGACAATCATTAATTTTATTTTCTCTCTCATAAAAATAAAAGAAATGATTTTCTCTCTCCTCCCTTTTTTCTTGGAGACGTAATCCCAACTGCCTCTTTAATATCTAATATTTATTAAGGTGTAATAAATAAAGAATTTCACCAAAAACTAAAGGCCCAAACCGTGCATGCATATGCAGCCATCAATTCATCTTATGTAGTTTTTTCTTTTATGTCAAAGCAATTTCGCCTATGTTAATACAGATATTGTATAATCAAAATATTGGAGCACCCACAAGATATTTCCTCCAACTCTTAGTCCCATATCTCCGGGAAAATTAATTAAATTTCAAGTCAACTCCCAATCATAGCTGTAGCTAATTTCTAGAATGGTAAATGCCCAGTTTATTAAGCTCATGAATTCACAACAATCTGTAGCTCAAAGAATGACTTTCCCCCCAAGGCTACCTGTATATATTGTATAACCCGACCATGCCAGGTGCCATCTTGGACATTGTTCATCTCTAATGTTTTGATATTCCTGTTCACATTGTAAGAATACTATCTATAAGTTTTCAAGCATAAAAATCTTAATCAAAATTAAGCCATTTGTCTACTTTCAATGATCTAAAGAATTTCAATAGTTCCCAAAGGATAGCTGCCGGTCATAGAACTTATTTTTTTAATCATGAATGGTGATTCAATTAAAGAATTCTAAGCTCATCTAATTGGTAAAAGTGAAGGTTGATCAGTGGAACTTGCCTTCTTCACGAGATAATCAACAAGTGTTGTGGCATCAAATTTTCACTATGTATTCTCTCTCTATTAAAACGATAAAAGTTCTTAATGAAAAAAAAACACAGTAATAGTCAAAATTTTCAGATATGAGAAGATTAAAATCCCTAAATCAAACCCTCAAAAGAGATGGAGGTCTTTTCTAGTTTCATGAAAGAGAGGGAGGGAGGAGACTCTTGTTGCAGATAAAGAGAGAAAAAGAGATCGATGTTTTTTATGGTCTCATGAAAGAGAGTGAGAGAGATGTGTGCGAGAAAGAAGAGAGATTAAAGGGAGGAGAGAGAAAATTGTTTCTTTTATTTTTATGGTGAGAGAGAAAATAAAATTAATGATTGTCTAATTAAGAAATTAAAATTATTTCCCATGTCAAGTTTAATCTCAACCACTGAAAGTAGAGTAATCTAATGGCCCAAAAATTGTGTCAAAACTTGTGTAAAAAATATAGTGCCACGGATCCGCCCCCATTAAGAAATATCAAACCAAATATATATATATATATATATATAGTCACATTTTATTGAGGGATCCTTAAATAATTTTATTTGAAGGACACCCTTTAGGGTACTCTACAAATTTTTCATGGTTGGTACTTAGTACTGTTTGCTACAATTCTTTACAATCTGGGTGAAGAAAATGAAGGCTTAGTTCACTTCAAATTGAACCATCAAATGAGTTTTTGGCTCCTCTTGAGGAATGCAAGTAATGACTTACCAAACCATTATGTTCAGTTCCAAGTGAGGAATGATATATTGGTACTGAAACTTAAAACATCAACGGCTTCCACTTAATAAAGGCTAATGGTATGTCGTCAGAAGGCTATACCTTTTGTGTAGCAGTCAGAGTACTCCCTTTGTTATCCAAACCCTCAATTTGTGCCACCGTATATAATTGTTCAAGAAGTTCTGCAGTCACTATGCCATCTTGAGGGGCGTCTAAGGAGGCCTGTCAGAGAAGATATTACGAGTTGACTAACATATATATTTTGCGTTGTGAAATTTTTGTTCAACTTGATGATTCTGAAATTTTACACTTCATGCATTATACATAGTAACATCTAATGATAATTGAAACTTACTTGCCAAGTCTTGACAGCACGTTCGGTCCCGCTTGAGAAGCTGGAAAACTCCATGTCTTCCTCACCCAAGTAAAATCCTAGTTTTTGCGATGCTTCCTGTCAAATAACAGGAACATTATATTATTAGAACAAGTCGAAATCACAAATATTACATCCAAAAACGAAGCAAACACTAGAAAAGGAAATAACCACACAAACCCAGTTACCAGGAAAAGAAAAGAAACAAAAGTTAACAACTTTCTATACTAAAGACAAAGTTAATACCCCCTTGTAAGTCCTAAAAAACTGTATGCTGCTCAGTTTTCAATTTGCCAAATTCAAAAGTACCATTTTATAATTCAAAGACAACACTAAATCATAAAACAAAACACAAGAAATGAATGATAGACTTCGAAAAATCAAAACTCGCATTTCAAAAGCAAGCAGACCTGCATAGCTCGGACCTCTTCACCTTCCGACCCCTTCCTCAAAGCATTTCTGCTCTTCTTCTTCTCCTTCACTTCCGAAACGGCAGACACCTCCTCAATCTCCTCCTGAATATGGTCCAATTCTACGGCTCTGGAACTCGACCCTGTCTCCGATATCAGAATTTTCTCGGTCAAAATCTGCAACAAGTCGGCGATGTGGGGCTAGGCGGGCGCTAGGCGACTAGGCAGGGGCTAGGCGGGCGCTAGGCGGCTAGGCGGGCTCTAGGCGGCTAGGCGGGGCTAGGCGTGGGCTAGGCGGGCGCTAGGCGGCTAGGCGGGGGCTAGGCGGCTGGGCTGGCCTCCTAGGCGGGTTGGGTCTTTTTACGATGCCGAATCTGGAGGACGAAGCAGTCGAAACCGAAGAAAACCAATCGAAGCTTTGAGTTTGATAGAAAAGCGAAATGGCTGTGACTGCAAGTCCAAGCTTCGTGATAATATTTACAGTGTATAGCCGTACGGCTATACTCTTAAAATATTCGAATATGTTAATATTTAAAGACTCTAGCCGTTCGGCTATACTTTTAAAATATTCTAATGTATTTACCCTTTAAATATACATTTTTGTCCTATCGTTTTAAAGTCTAGGGCTAAAATAGCACTTTAGCCCATTGGGCTAGATTTATTTCTTCAATTATTTTATTTATACAAGCGATATTGGAGAATTAAAATTTAAATTATTTCCAATATCTCTCATTCTAATGATTTTCCAACTATTAGCCCATTGTGTAATAATTAAAAAAAAAAAAAAAAAAAAAAAAATTATTTATAACAAATAATATGGGTTAAACCCATAAATACAACAACAAAAAATAGAGATTCGCCAACATTTTGTGGATCAAAGAATGTTGAATTTCATAGTATAAAATTGCTTGTATAGGAATTTACTTTTTAAAATGTATCCATCGTAATTATGAACTAAACCCAATTACAGCCTTTTTTCTCATTGCACTTGACAACCCTTCTCTTCTGCTATGAGATATATCAGTCCGCGATGTGTTCTATGCCGGTGAAAAATTGGATACAAAACAGTCTAACGAGACAATGAAGAGAAGTTTGCAGCTCTGTTTTGAAATAAATTGAAGGCAACATAAATCATATGACATTGATTTACGAACTATTCTCAATGCGAATTCAAACAACATGCGTTGGATGAGAATTAGTATCTCATTCTTAGGCCTCGTATAGGAATTTATTTTTTTTCCGCCAAAGACTTGCTTCACTTTAAAGTTAAGCAGTTTAAGGTGTTTTGTAAAAATAAAATATCCCAATTATTTTAAGAAACGTGCATCTTTCTCTCTCCTTTGTCAGCTACCAATTACATATACAGCACTGTGCAAGTTATCAATCTTCCTATCTTTTTATCAATGAAATCTAAAAAAATTCAATTAGATCTTGGTCTCTTATGCAGGAATTACAAATGTCCGTCGCCTATATATGCATATACTAAAATAACGAATTTGGGTTTCTTTTTGTGATTTTACCAAGGTGATGAAAAAAGGTTTAAAAATAATTTATTCTAACTTCATCTAATATTAACTTTCTTTTTCTGAAATAATGCGGGTATCATAACTCCAAAGTTACAAGAGAGAATTGATAATTATACCATGAACTATTTGGCATATAGAGAGTAAATGAGTTTTAATTATTTTATTATTTTTAATTTTTTGGTTTTTGAAATCCTTAAAGGCAGGATTTATTTTTTTAGAGAAAGAAGGGCGATATCATTTTATTGATTTTATTTTTGTTTGTCGAAAGATAGCATTTTATTGATAGAAGAATGAGTAACTAGTACAAAAATGAAGAGAAGAAGATGATCCATGAAGGTCATTGACCGCATAACCCATAATATATGTCTTAGATTAACAAGTGTCAAAATCTCATTTGTTTTGAGAAGGAACTCCCCCTCAATTTGTTAATCTGTTCTACATGTATAAATCTCTAAGTTGTAGAAATACCTTGGTTAAATAAAGAGTGCAACTCCTCCGTGCATAAATCAGATATTCTTTATACGTGGTTCCACTTTTGGTACTTTAATTCATTGACATTTTTTATCATAAACAATTTGCTGATTTTGTCCTACTAATAAAAGCAGAGTGAGTCAAATTTGGACGATGGACGATGGATTACTACGCTCACTCTTGTCAGAAAAACTTGCAATCGCAGTACCATTACCATCTCGTAGTTCCATATACAGAGTCCCAGAAACACTACGAAGGCACAATGAAATGGCCCCAAATCTGGTTTCAATTGGGCCATTTCACCATGGAAGAGCGCGTTTGCAAGCCATGGAAGGAATGAAACTATGGTATTTGAAATGCCTTCTTGATAAACTAACTCCAGGCAAGGATTTGGCGTACCTTATCTGTGCAATTAGAGAGCAAGAAAATTTCTGTCGTGATTGCTACGACAGAAATTTTGATGATCTGTCTAGTGATGAATTTGTAGAAATGATGCTCGTTGATGGCTGCTTTATTATTGAACTTCTCCGCAAACAGGTCCTCCTTTCTCCCTTGGAAAATGATGATGCTATTTTCAGGACGCCAAGGATGTTGTCGACAATTACAAATGATTTGTTGCTAGTTGAAAACCAACTCCCTTGGAGGGTTCTTGACTGCTTATTCGAGGTCACAAGGGTAGATGATGATGACCGTAGAATGTCATCTCTACATGAACTTGCTTACCATGTCTTTCAGAACCCCACATTTGAAAGTAGAACGTATCCAAACCTCAGCATAGAATTCGGAAGTAGCCATTTACTCGAGACTGTAAGAAATTTTTTGGTCAAATCAAACGTGGAAGTTTGGAATAAGGATATGGAATATCGAACTCCGATTCCTTCCGTGTCAGAGCTTCTAGAAATTGGAGTCAAATTTGTGGCTGCCTCATCCAACAAGGGTCAGCTCCACATTACCTTTCAAAATGGAGAGATGGAGATTCCACAATAATAATTCGAGAGGATGTAGAATGTTTCATCAGAAACCTCATAGCCTACGAACAATGTACACAGAAGCCCAAGCAGTGTCAGATGACCTCTTATTTCATCAGAAACCTCATAGTCTGTACAAGATGTGGACTTTCTGATTGAGAAAAAAATTATAACTACAGAGTTGAACAAGGTGAGCACAGCCTCTTTCTTCAAAAGGCTTTCCAATGGCACTGAAGCCATCGTATTCTTTTACGGTGACATCGCAAAGGAAGTAAATGAATATATTAAGCGTCGCTGGCTAAGGACTTGGCTAGTAAGGGTCAAACGGAATTATTTATACAATCCGTCATCATTCTGGTCTGTTTCTAATGGAGTGGCCGTTATTCTCATCCTTACCTTAACGCAGACCATATTTACTGTTCTCTCCTACTACAAGTAGCCAACCCTACCACCGGAACCAATTCTCCTTTCGCTTTTTCTTTCGTTTATTTTTTGTCTTTGTTTCCTTCAATGTCTCGCTTGCAAGTTTGGGAAATAATGAACTGCGACTATTGTTTGTTTCAGCACATGTTTGTGAACCCTTTTAGTTTTTGTATTTGTTTTTGTGGACGGAGTTTAAGAAATATGGTAAAGTAGAGAGGGATTAAGTGAGAACTTTTGAATTCCAGGAGATAAATGATATAAATTCAATCTCTGCACTTCATTTCTCAACCACCAAACTATAAATTCGAGATCTTGGAGCAAAATGAACAAAATGGACAAAAGAAAACATGAAAATCTTGTACAATAGTAACATGTTTGATAAACAATTGTTGGATAATATAAGGAGAAATTGAGAAGACAAAATATTCAGTTATTATTAGAATAGTATTGCTACTTCCACCCACATGTCCTATTTTTTAACCTTCCCTTTTTTTTTGAATGCAGCATATTTCTATCTTTAATACACATTTAGAATCCGGAGGCTCTGCTTTAATTTCAATTTTTTTTTACCCAGGGTTGCAGAATCTGTTATTGTAAAATGTGATGGACATTTGGTAGAAATCTCTACAGAGTAATAGAGTTCTCCAGAATAATTTAGAATCCCAAAATGCTATAATATAGCTATCAAATATCTAAGATAATATAGCTATCAAATATCTAAGATAATTGTTGTAGAATCTAGAAGAGGGTAGCTACTATACTAAATGACAAGGTCGGTGGACTATTCCTGCTAAACAAATAGCCACAACACAAGAATGCTCTAGAGCAAGCAAGCATGAGGCTGATAATATTTGATAAAGCCTTCTAGAATTTTAAAGACAAATTTACCCTTTGTAAATTATCTTCTAAGGACTTTGCCTCCCCACCAATAAACAAGTGTTAACTTTTAATAAATTTAAAATATAAAAAAAAACTAATTATTTTAAAAACCAAAAACAAAAACCCAACAGCCACCAAAGCTCCCCACCTAGCCACCCGATCCTACCCCGCCGGCGGCGACCTCCTCCCCCTTGCTGCCAATAAATACTCCTTTCCTCTTTATCTCTCTCTATCTCTCTATCTCTTTGTCTTTCTCTCTCTGTCTTTATGTGCTGATCCAGATCTGGATCCCAAGATCTATGTGTAAACGATGAGTAACAACAATAGCAACTGATAGCCCAAACAACTATCACATGAGATCATGTAATTGATTCTACAACGATGAGATTGACTACGAGACATAGTATTTTGTTGGAGTTTTGAAGAAGAGCAGGATGGGTGTTATTCTTGCCGACAGCTTGAAGATGAGATTGACTATGTTGTTGGGGTTTTGAGTTTGAGGCAGAAAATGGTAGAGTGGGAAAAGAAAAGAAATTGACTACGCTGTTCTCATGGACCATGGTCCATCTGTAAATTGTTCATTGTTAGTTAGCTTTATGAGGTAGTTTAAATCAAGCTGTGATTCGCAGCTTCTAAAGTTTATTGGGATAAACTATAGCTCTCCAACTATGGCCTTTGCAATGATTGATCTCATGCCAGCTTTTACCTTCATTCATGCTGTCATCACTGGGTAAATACTAAATATACAATTACAGTCCCAAATTGATGAATATATATATATATATATATATATATTTTATGATAAATATGTTTTGGTTTTTAGGATGGAAATTCTAGATTTGAGAATTACCAGTAGACATGCGAACAGTGGTGTCAATCTCAGGGGCAAAGTGCTTCCCGCGAGCAGAGGGAGGTTGCTGTCGGCAAGGTTGGGGTGGCTGACCAGGATGGGTGGGTGGGGGAGCTTTGGTTGAATTAATTTAATAGTGGGGGACAGCTAAAGGGTATTTTAGGAATAATGGTGGGTGGGAAGATAGAATTGTGTTTTTTCAAATTTATATAAGAGTGTGTATTTAAGGGTAGTTTGGGAAGATAGTAAGGTTTTCTTATAAATTGTGAAAATTTGAATTAAAAATTGGGATGAACAAAGAGAAGTGCGGGGTTTAAATAGAAAAACTCCCCGTTTGGTTCACAGAACAAATTTGAGAGGAAATTATTTCCCATGTCATTTTTCAAGAAATGGGAAATAGAAAGTTCCTTTCTCATGTTTGGTAATGATGAGAAAGTAACCGGGAGATATCACTTTATTTCATTTATCATGTTTGTTTTTAGTAAGAATGAAAAACGAAGTTTGTATAAATTTTCAATTATATCCATATTAAATCAAATAAAAAAATGCATTTAATGATATATTGTAATTCTAAATTGTTAATAGAGACAAAATGATCATGAAAAATATTTATTTAATTTTGCTCATTTTCCCAAATTTTCCCATGATGAGGGAAAATAAAACTCAAGTTATGACGATGGTTTCACTTTCTCTCATACTTTCTCAAGGGTCAGTAACGATTTCCCACACTTGGACTTACCAAACATGAGAAACAATTGATTTTCCATCCCCAAATCTCATTTCCCATGAACCAAACGGGATAGATAAAGTGAGTGAGAAAAAAAGACAATATGGTGAAAATAGTAGCATTATATTAGAAAACGACTTTGACCAATGTGGACGAGTAGGTTTTTCCACACAAAAAGGGTGTAGTCTTTATCCTTGCGTACCTAATCTTTTCGCACTTATCCTGCAACGACAACTCCATCGAACCTCTCGATTCATCCTGGTGAGTTTCTCCTACAAATTGCCTACAAATGTTAAGACTTAAAATGTTTGTGTGTGTTTAAGAAACATGCATCTTTCTCTTTCCTTTGTCAGTTACCAATTACATATACAGCACTGTGCAAGTTATCAATCTTCCTATCTTTTTATCAGTGAAATCTGAAAAAAAATCAATTAGATCTTGGTCTCTTATGCAGGAATTACAAATGTCCGTCGTCTATGCATATACTAAAATAACGAATTTGGGTTTCTTTTTGTCATTTTACCAATGTGATGAAAAAAGGTTTAAAAATAATTTATTCTAACTTCATCTAATATTAACTTTCTTTTTTCTGAAATAATGCGGGTATCATAAGTCCAAAGTTACAAGAAAGAATTGATAATTATACCATGAACTATACTTGCATATAGAGAGTACATGAGTTTTTATTATTTTATTATTTATTATTTATTGGTTTTGAAAACCTTAAAGGCAGGATTTTTATTTTTTTATTTTTATAGAGAGAGAAGGGCAATAGCATTTTATTATTATTTTTTGTTATTGTCGAAAGATAGCATTTTATTGATAGAATAATGAGTAACTAGTATAAAAATGAAGAAGAAGATGATCCACGAGGGTCATTGACCACATAACCTATAATACAGTCCCCTTCTATTGAGGGATACCCTTTAGGGTACCCTACAATTTTTTTTCTAATGATCCAAACCATCTATTTTTTAGGTCTTCATTCATAGATTATCCTTACAAAAAATTAGACAAATCGGAAACTGTTTCGACATCCAATTGTGTCATACAAAATCAATGAACACGGTGCTTCAAGAAAGTACTAAAATTTCAATAACTCAAATGAGTGGTCAAATGATATCGGATTCAAGTAATTTTTTGTAGAGATGATCTTTGAATGAGTATCTAGACGGTTTGGATTAGTGAAATACAATCTGGAATGAGGCCTACAAGAAGTGTCCCTCAAATAAGCTTATTTGAGGGATCCCTCAATGGAAGCTCTCTGACCTATAATATATTCAAGATATGTCTTAGATTGACAAGTGTCAAAATTCCATTTGTTCTAAGGAGAAGCTCAATTTGAAGGAGCCAAGCTTTTCCCTTAAGTATTATTTGCTAATCTATTCTACACGTATAAATCTCTAAGGTGTAGAAATACCTTAGTTAAATAAAGAGTGCAACTCCTCCGTGCATAAATCAGATATTCTTTATACATGGTTCCACTTTTGGTACTTTAATTCATTGACGTTTTTTATTATAAACAATTTGCTGATTTTTTCCTATTAATAAAAGCAGAGCGAGTCAAATTTGGAGGTTGAAAGGGATATTGATGTCAGACACCTATGCGGACGATGGATTACTACACTCCTTGTCAACAAGACTTAACTGCGCATCACCATTACCATCTCGTAGTTCCATATACAGAGTCCCAGAAACACTACGAAGGCACAATGAAATGGCCCCAAATCTGGTTTCAATTGGGCCATTTCACCATGGAAGAGCGCGTTTGCAAGCCATGGAAGGAATGAAACTATGGTATTTGAAATGCCTTCTTGATAAACTAACTCCAGGCAAGGATTTGGCGTACCTTATCTGTGCAATTAGAGAGCAAGAAAATTTCTGTCGTGATTGCTACGACAGAAATTTTCTTGCTCTGTCTAGTGATGAATTTGTAGAAATGATGCTCGTTGATGGCTGCTTTATTATTGAACTTCTCCGCAAATACAAAAGGTTCTGCTTTTCTTTCGGGGAAGGTGGTGATGCTATTTTCAGGACGCCAAGGATGTTGTCGACAATTACAAATGATTTGTTGCTAGCTGAAAACCAACTCCCTTGGAGGGTTCTTGACTGCTTATTCAAGGTCACAAGGGTAGATGATGATGATGATCATGGAATAACATCTCTACGTCAACTTGCTTGCCTTTTCTTTCAGAACCCCACGTTTGTACGGTCATTTGATACTATAATGTCTCCAAACCTCAAAGAAGAATTCGTAAGCAGCCATTTACTCGAGACTGTAAGAAATTTTGTGGTTCAAGATCAACCATACGGGGAAGTTGGGGAGGATATTGAATATCGAACTCCGATTCCTTCCGTGTCAGAGCTTCTAGAAATTGGAGTCAAATTTGTGGCTTCCGATGATGTTAGTGGTCAGCTCAACATTACCTTTAGAAATGGAGTGATGGAGATTCCACCAATAATAATTCGAGCGAATGGAGAATGTTTCATCAGAAACCTCATAGCCTACGAACAATGTACACAGAAGCCCGAGCAGTGTCACATGACCTCTTATGCCATCCTGTTCAGTCACCTTATTGAGTATGTAGAAGATGTGGACTTTCTGATTCAGAAAGAAATTATAACTACAGAGTTGAGCAAGGTGAGCACAGCCTCTTTCTTCAAAAGGCTTTCCAATGGCACTGAAGCCACCGGCTTCTTTTACGGTGACCTCGCAAAGGAAGTAAATGAATATATCAAGCGTCGCTGGCTAAAGACTAGGCTAGTAAGGGTCAAACGGAATTATTTATACAATCCGTCATCATTCTGGTCTGTTTCTAATGGAGTGGCCGTTATTCTCATCCTTACCTTAACGCAGACCATATTTACTGTTCTCTCCTACTACAAGTAGCCAACCCTACCACCGGAACCAATTCTCCTTTTGCTTTTTCTTTCGTTTATTTTTTGTTTTTGTTTCCTTCAATGTCTCGCTTGCAAGTTTGGGAAATAATGAACTGCGACTATTGTTTGTTTCAGCACATGTTTGTGAACCCTTTTAGTTTTTGTATTTGTTTATGTTCCAAGTCAATGCCAATGGTTCTCATTACAACTACAAGGCTTCGTTTATGTGAATAATTCGCTGTAATAAGTTTTTCATATTTTAATTTGTATTAGAACTTTCATGCCACGTCAGTGGTTTTGTGGATGGAGTTTAAGAAAAATGGTAAAGTAAAGAGGGATTAAGTGTCCGTTTGACATTACTTATTTGGGGTAATAAGTGATTTTATAAAAATTTTGGGAAGCCCAGTCCTTTTGGAGTTACATTTTGGTCACTCAACTCAAATATTAGTTTCATAAGTCACTCAATCTGAGAACCCAATTGAGTGACCTCTGCAAGTAATATTTGAGTTGAGTGATCAAAATGTAACTCCGAGTATAGTTGAGGAATTATTGCTATAAATAACCCCTAAAAATAACATTTGACACATAATAATATCTGCAATTATAATAGGGTTATTCGCAGTAATGGTTCCTCACCTATACCGGTAGTTACATTTGGGTCACTAAACTCAATTATTAGTTGCAGACGTCACTCAATTAGTTGTTGCGTTGCACCATTAGTCCTTCCATCAAATTCTGTTAAATTTTTTTTTGGTCAAAAGTGAGGATAAAATCGGAAATTCATCCACAACCCTCCCCTTCCTCCATAACCCTCCATTGCCGCAACCCAATTCTTGCCAACACCAAAAAATTCAATTAAAAAGATGTCGCACATCAACAAGAATATTTTCAAACCAACAAACAGATTCAAGATCTCGCATTTTAAGCCGTTTACGAGAACCCAAGTCACGTTCTTGTCCCAATTCATTACTCACCCACTTCTCCCCAACAATCTAAAACAACCCAAAAAATAAGCGCAGGAAAAAGAACCAACCTTTGAATCCGATCTGGGTATCGAGACCAACCCCTCTCCTAAATCACATTAGTCTTCCGTCATCTTCGAACCCAATTCAAATACAACAATTTAAAACCTGACCCTTTCGCAAGAGCCACTAAATCTGACTCATGGGTGCTAAAATTTGTAGACTTTTGAAACAAAAATGAAAAGCAGTAAGTGTTGAAATGATGAATCTTTGGACCTCCCCGAGGGAGCAAACAAGAATGGAAGGTTGAACCACAGGTTTGGCACAAGAGGAACCTTTCTTAGACTCGGTTCGTCGTCAGTTTGCAAACCATCAAGAGGTTAAGAGGGAAGAGGGGTTGGTGCGTTAGGGTTTTGAAGTTTTGTGTAGCAGATCTGTGGGAATTTTTATTATTTGATATTCAATTTGAATTTCCAAATTTACAAATTTACAAATTTTGAAGTTATGGAGGATATGGAGGGTTGTTGATGAATTTCCGAATTTACCCTCACTTTTGATAGAAAATTTAACAGAATTTGACGGAAGGACTACTGGTGCAACAAAACACATATTTGAGTGACGTCTACAACTAATAATTGAGTTCAGTGACCCAAATGTAACTACGGGTATAGTTGATGGACCATTGTTGTGAATAACCCATTATAATATAATCTTACAAGAGAATAAACATCTTCATTGAAAATTTAGTTGGGAAATTTTTGTAGCCTCCAAAACTAAACAAAATGAAATACAACCATTTTCAACTCTCACATAATCTCATATAAAAAAACAAAAGTCTCACATAATCTAGTACACATTTCAGAGTTCTAATGTGTGTGTGTGTGTAATTCATATTATGTTGGGATTACCAAAATAAATCACCGCGCTTCTTTCATTTTTCAATAATTGGAGAATTATGTGGGTTTACTTATTAGTCATCTCACTGATAAATAAATAAATAATCTTCTTCTTTGACCTTTCTTTCATGGGGATCATGATTTTGAAAACTTATATTACGCCCATTTGATTCGCAAATTGAACTTCATTGGAATGAAATTCCCATGTCTAATCCTATAAGATGGGAATGAAAGATGTTCAATGACGAAATGTTATTTTTACCAATTCCCATGTTTGGTTTGTGCAATATTACAAATGAGAAGTTGTTTTGTTTTCCAACAATGCCCTCAATTAGCCCATGTTTAATCCCACAAGATGGGAATGAAGGATGTTCAATGATGAAATGCTATTTTTACCAATTTGCATGTTCGATTATTAGGAATGAAAAGTTTTTTAGTTTTCCAACAATGCCCTTAATTAGTCAAAAAGGATTTTTTTTTTTGAAAAGTTCTTTTATAGGTCAAAAATAGTATTTGAAAATTGTAACATGGGTAAGTTTGTCGATACAAATTGCATTATGTTTTATGGTGCAAAGTTTACTTTGACATATATAAGAGAATGAGTTATTTACACTAACAATCATTGAGATTTTAGGCGTTTTCACAAAACCCCATGAGGTTTTAGAAATTATACGAACACCCCATGAGGTTTTAAATTTTTTTCACATAACCCATTTTTTTTTATCCAAAAATTGATGATTTTATATAAACAAATTCTTCAAATAACAAAGTTTGCCTATGATATTATATTACACACACATTTATGGAGGTAAATTTTTTTCATTTGCATAAGTTTTTTTCATATGAAATCATCAATTTTTGAAAAATAATTAGACACCTCAGGAGGTGTTCGTATAAAATCTGAAACCACATGGAGTTTTGTAGTGTAAATAACTTGTAAGAGAATATAGAATATTTGCTTAATTGTTTATGAGGAGAAATGACCAAACCAAATCGGTCACTAAATGGATTGATTTGGTAATTATGCTATTCGTTTGATGACTAAATCAAATCAATTCTAACCGTAATATAACATTATTAGGGAGAAGAAGACACATAATGACTTTTTTGTTTTCGCCTATTTTGGGCTTTCGATGGGTATTTTGGACATTCTAAACGGCCTCACAATACATGGAGAAACCAAAACCACTCGATCCGGCCCATTTACAAGCGCTTGTGGGATTAACTACCACTGAAATTGAAGGGGGGTCGTCTAGGTCACATTGACTGTCACACACAGAGAGCGAAAGAAAGAAGACAATGGCGTCGAACGCAGCGGTGCCGTTTTGGCGTGCGGCCGGTATGACTTACGTCACCTACTCAAACATCTGTGCGAATCTGGTTCGGAATTGCCTCAAGGAGCCTTACAAGACTGAAGCAATATCTCGCGAGAGGGTACACTTTGCCGTCTCCAAGTGGACCGATGGCAAGCCTGAGACGCCCAGTAAGCTCATCCCTCTTTTGCTTTCAGATTTCAGATCTTGGGTTTTCATTTCTGGTTTGATTGCTTATTTGCTTGTTTAAAAGCTCATCCGTTTATCGTTGTTAATATTTGATTTCAATCTGTGCGTTTAGAATCTGGGATTTTTCAGATGAATTGAAATTTCGTGTATTTTTGTGAAATGAAATTTAATCTCATGATGAGCTAATTGAGGTCGATTTGCAATGTTGGGTTGTGTGATTGGTTTGATGTGAATGAGTGGCTCACATGATGAACTTTTGAAAGTTTTTATTTTTCTTTCGGTTTGCAAATAATGTGAAAATGCTTTTGATCTAATTACGGACATTAGATTCACGAGGTTTCTTCCAATTTGTGATTTTTTTTCCTTCAAATAATCAAAGGTGTTAACTTTTAGATTAATCTGGGTTGTTATAACTAAAGCACCCAAGTCAGAAGCATGTTGTGATCGCATGGTTTAAGTTTCAGAGTTGAGATTTGTGAAATGAGAATGTCTCCCTGAACTTCGCACCTTATGTTTATCCCAAATGGGTATTAAGGCATTGCACCCTTTGTTCAGTTTTTAAGACTTTTTGGACCCTTTATAATAGCCGCAGACCTTTTTTTTTCCCCTTACTGTTTTCTTTTAGGGTAAGTAGAACATATGATACTAGTCAGGGATTGCAAGGACTGCACTTGCTGGGGTATTATCGTGTGCTCTAAGGGGCCATATACCTTGTGAAGCAGTACTTGCAAAAGCAGATCAGGAAAATAGAACCTGAGCAGGATGAAATATTTTAACAGATACATGTTGATGCTGACCACATTTCCTTTCCTTATTTCATTTGTACAAGGATGATATCTAAATACATCTTAGAGCACTTTTTAACCCTTTTGCTCTAAGAGTAAATAAAAGTACTTCTAGCATGTGATCTTGGCTTCTGTTGTGAAATGAATTGCAATCCTTCTGTATATCTCAGCTTAACCATGTCGCTTTAAGTTAGTTGTGACTCCTCTTTGGGTTCAGCTGCCTAAGTATAAGTTATTAACCCCAGGATAACTCCCCCAGAAGAGGGGGAGTAGAGTTAGAACCATAGGGCTACAGCCCATGATTGACAGGAACAATTCGGCAGCACGTTTTTTCTTAGAGCATTCATAAATTGGTGTTGAAATGAGGAGATTTTTTTTGTTTTTTTGTTTTTTGGTCAGAACGAGAGGAGATTTTGATTGAGACTTGATTTGTTAATGTCGTGTGTTTTCTGAAGTGTCCACTGTGAGCTGTTTTGATTCAAGGGGATGGTGCTTATTTCGATCTGCTAACTAATGAAGAAAATCTGGCAGACTATGCAATTTTAAGGCTGATTTCAGATTCTTGATAATATTTATCCTGAACTTTTTGTTATTTCCAATGCTGTCGCCATTCATGAGTGTTGTATTGTTTTGGATCTGCTAACTAATGAAGAAAATACAATGCAATGGCTATTGATTCCTAATAGTATATTAATACTTTACATTTTTGTTATGTGTGAATGGGTAGCATATTAATAATCGATTGTGCCCTTTGATAAAAGTGCATACATTTGCATGGTAATTTGATTTGTGAACCTTGTGAATAACGAATCTATATTCCACCAGGCCACTATTCTCATGGGTGTTTTTTGTTTTCTGACAGCTATCCGTACGGACACACCTGATGTATGAGTTGAAGAATATTGGATGGCTCATGCCCTTGGGTTACACAGATGCTTTCTCCCTTTTGCTGTCGCTTTGATAGATGTGATTATATTGGGTTTTTTATGCCCAAAACTTTCAGACTTGGATTGTATTCTGTGTTTCTGCATGATCCTTCTGTTATAATAATGATGTATTGACACTGATGAAGTGTCTGATTGTTTCAGTAGTATAATCTCACCCCACAACTACCTTGCTCAATTTTAGAATTCCCTCCATCTGCATTTCATTTGGACGATTTGGAGAATACTTATTCATTGACTTGACCTGTTGTCCATTAAGGTCAGTTTTGATTTTTGGTTTGATGAGAGAAGTACCAAAAAACAGGAACACTACAAGGAGCCTTAGCCTCTAGGGCAACCACCACTCAGAGTGCCCATTCGCAGCGCAGCTGCAACAAAGTTGGCTTCCCGGAACGCATGCTTAAATTTAAATCCGTGAACAAACCTCTGGACATTTGAAATGGTAGTCTTAAGGCTCCAAGGCACTTCACATCTGTTATTAATATAAGGGGAAGCCATTAAAATCTGTAATGCTGCTCTGGTAGTAGCAAGTTTCTACGGTGTTGTCCTCACCTGAATATGCCAAATTGACAGCAAACGTGAGAAGCCTATTGGGAAAACAATAATAATAATATTGACAATTAAGCATCCTGAATGGCATACAACCCTAAACGTTACATTCTGCTTAGCTAAAAACGTTATAAAAGAAAAAGAAAACACAAGCCAATGGCTAAGGATGATTTAATTCAAGCCTAAGTCAGCTTAAAGTTTTACTTAGCAGACGTTATTAAAGTTTAGCATACATTAATTATTTGTATGGAGGTTTGGTTGCTTACTCTATCTGGAGAGTATGATCGCGTAGTATAACTTGTCCACATAATTAAATATCGAAATATAAAAAATAACTCATGCTGATGGCTGATGACCTAAGAAGTAAGTATTGTACTAACTTTTGTGGAAGGAAAAAAGGAGAGAAAACTATAAATAGCAGGTAAAAAGTGGATGCAACTTCCATTGCAGCATGTGAAACCCTAATTAACATAATCACAAGGATCCTCAAAATTAGATATTTTCCCATAGTTCTCCTACCACTCTCCATCTTAATTATCAAAAAGTAATATAAATATACACCCATGATTTATAAGATAAAACTATATATATAATTTATTATTTTATTATAATGAAAATTGATCAATAAGATACAACTATATTTTTGTCAGTTCTTATGTGAACGAAAAGGTGGTTGAGAAATTAACCAATGAGGGTTGGTTCAGTTGGTAAGGTCCCTGCACTGTGTGTAGCCCCACCATTGTTCGAGTCCCGCTGCCAGATTGGTGTGCAATATATGTAATTTTCTATATAAATCTATACTCGTAACAATTGGTAGTTGGGTGCCACGCGTAAGTCCTTCTGACTCGAAATCATGGATATGACCTGGGGCTGATGGTGAGAGTAGTCAATCTTCCCCTTTAAAAAAAAGGTAATTGAGAAATTAAAGTTACACGTTTGCATATGTATGGTGGCTGGTAAGAATTTATAATCCACCTTTTTTGTTTTCTTCTTCTTTCTTTTTTCATTGGGCAAGAACATCTTCTGGAAAATTGATGTAAGGGCTTACGAGTTTTGACATAATAAACAAGTAGAATTAATATATATAATATCTTGTCCACTCTAGAGTGGAGCAACAAGGGTAGGTATGCATATATGTCGCGGTCTGGTTCGACAGCTCGAGTTTCATGTGCATGGAGATCGATACCATATGGACAAGGAGAGGTTGCGTCAATGTTTGAAAAAAGAGAACAAGATTGATCCTATACAGATCTTAAACCAAAATTTATGGTTTCTTTTTTTCTTGTTTGAAAGGTTACCTAACATGTAGTCTTTTACTTTATTCTAAGAGTAAATTAGGTGATGAGAATAGCTGAATGTGTAGGGCGGCTTTATATGTAAGCAACTTCTAAGAATAAATAATATAAAAAAGAACCATATATCTGGGGGCTATATTCTTTCGAGTTTTAACAAAATCAATTCTGATATTGGATATTAGAGCATGCAATTTCGGTAGTTGCCATTGCCAATGATTGTTTAGTTTGGAGGCCTCATCTCCATTTTTGTTAAAGGAAAGCCTTGAGTTCATTTGGTTTCGGTTCCATTACAATCTACGATAGTAGTTTATGGGCTTGTTTGGGAGTGCTTCTGGAAAGGTCAAAAGTGTTTTTTAATAACTAAAAGCACTTCTGACAGCGTTTGGTAGAAAAGTTTAGAAGCACTTCTGGATCATAAAAGTGCTTCCTGGAGAAGCACTTGCTATGTGCTTCTTCAGGAAGAACTCCCAAGTGCTTTTTCACGAAGCACTTTAATTTTTTATGAAAATTCAAGATTTTTATAATAAAATCACTTTTGTTAGAAGCGTTTATGAGCAGAAGTACTTCATAAAGAAGCAATCCCAAACGAGCCCTATATTTGATTCAATCCATTACGAGAGTATTTGTATTTCAATTTTCTCTGTTATAACTCGATGAATTTTTTAGGCTGGTCTAATATAGGCGCGTCTAAATTTTAATGTTATGGTAGCAACGTCACGTGATATTACTAATGATTAAGATGGACGATATGATTGATATTTTATGAACATAGAATATTGCATTAATAAAGAGCACACACTAGCTATCATATGACTAAATTAGTAACACTATGTGAACGTTGAAGAATTGTATCTCACCTCAATGATTATGAGGGAGGAAAACCGATTCATTTATATAGTGATTATTTACAAGTCAAACATCCCGAGAAGGAAGGAAAGCTGTATAAGGTAAATTACAATTTTTTTGGGTGAACAAAAGTTTAGGGGAAGATTGACTATTCTCATCACTAGTGCCATGACATACTCACAATCTCGAGTAGTAATGACTTACGCGTGTCACCCAACTGTCAGCTGCCACCGGTATAGATTTCTATAAGAAATTACAGATCGCGAACCAATGAGGACTGCTGGAAGCAGAACTCAAATTGGTAGAGCTACATACAGTGCAGGGACCTCATCAACTGAACCAACCCTTATTGGTGTAAATTACAATTAATTGACATAAAATATAATCAAAACAATTGGAGTTGATTGCAATCATATAATTATGATGGAGTGATTTCCAAAATAGTTTGTGTGTCACACCCCGGCAAGATGGTGGGGCAATCTCTCATCGTTAGCTTGGATCGAAGAAGGAAACGTCATAGGATAATCTTTTCGTGAAAATATTTGCCACTTGCTCAAATGTTGACCAATTTTTCGCAAACAAAATGATAATCAACCTCTACATGTCGTGTGTAGGAATGAAAAACTGGATTAGAAGCATATGCGATTGCACTAAAATTGGCACATGACTCATCTTCGTTTGACAACATGTCAGTTTCTCAGGGGTTTAGTGGTCGGACTACGAGTCTGTGGCCAGCAGCCGGGCCTACATAGTCGGATAGGCCATGTGTCGTGTTCGTATTGGATAGACTAAGCCTTGGTCATTTCAGCTTATGTCAAGCATATGTTAAATGTTCAAATATAATATAAAAAAATAGTAATAATATAAAAATAAAAAAAAAAAAAAAAAAAAAAAAAAAAGCGAGATTACATTCTATATACCATCTTGTGTATTATCTTTTTAATAGAGGTGAGACCCATTGTATTAATGGGCTCCACCTCTATTAAAGAGGTGATATATAAAATGTGGTCTCCCATGACGGTACAAGGCTTTTACATTTCTCTGTTAGTAATTAATTAGAAAAAAATTAATTAACCCTTATTGTTTCGTATACACAAAAAATAAAAAACATGCACACATTAATTTTAAGGCATGTAGATGCACTTGACCTAGCAATTACGCATACATTCTTGATCATTGAAGTCATGATTAGGTTTGACCGCCTTACAATCCCTTCGAATGCAACTGCGATGGCATTTTGGTCTTATTGGCAACCAAATAAAATCATGGTCTATAATTATTTCATCCAAAGGACCCGACAGGAGAGAAGGCTTAAGAGCAACTCCACCCATTTGCCCT